TTTCAAGGGTCTCACCTTCTAACTGGGGAAACAAACATGTAAACAATTATGTACATGTAAAATCTATGCTGTATAAGTGGTAGGTATTCTCAGAGGAAAGGCGCTAATGGGAAGAAGGAGCAAAAGTGGGGAAACCAGAAAAGGCCTCCTGTAGAAGCTGGGATTGGAGTGAAGTCTTGAAGGATACCAGGGAAACCAAGAGGTGCAGGTGTGGGGGATAGCCAGAGCTGAGAAATGTAGTATCATGTTCCAGAAACACCATGGAGACACCAGTGTCACTGGATTACAGAGTAATTGGTTGGGGGAGGTGAAAGAAGACTGGAGACGTAGGAAGCAGACAAACAGGATTTTATATTTATTTTTAAGGAGCCCCTGGGGGGCAGCTAGGTGTCCCAGCGGATAGAGCACCGGCCCTGGATTCAGGAGGACCTGAGTTCAAGTCTGGCCTCAGACACATAACACTTTCTAGCTGTGTGACCCTGGGTAAGTCACTCAACCCCATTGCCTAACCAAAAAAAAAAAAAAGGAGCCCCTGGAATTTAGTGAATGGAGGAGGGAGGTGATAAGGTGAGACCTGAGCTTTAGGAGGATCAGTTTAACAGCTGAATGGAGTGGGAAGAGACTTGAGGCAGGCAGCCCAATTGCAATAATCCAGGCTTAAAGTGATGGGGGCCTGTACTAGGGTCTAGGGTCATGGCAGTGTCAGAGGAGACAAGAGGGCATACTGGAGAGATGTTGGAAAGGTAGAAAGGGCAGGGTTTAGCACAGATTAGATATGTGGGCTGAGTGTGAGTGAGTAGTCAAGGATGACACAGAGATTTTGAGCTTGGGTAACAGGGAGGATGGTGATACCCTTGATCATAATAGGGAAGTAGATGGCAGAGTAGAGAGAGCACTCAGCCAAGCTCTCCCAACATTCTCCTCCAAACAATTTTAAAATAACATCTTAAATTGAATTCTTGAATGGCAGAGCCAACAAAAGGTTGGAATGAGACATTCCTCCAGCCCAAGACAGCTTAGGATGTTGGAAGGAGAGATCTCTGACGTAGGGATGGATGATACACCATAGTGAATCACTAATGGTGGGACCAAGTGGCGGTGACAGAAGCGGCAGCAGCTTTGGGAACTCTCAAGCCAGAGATGGTAAGGGGACCTGGCAACTGATCAGAAAGAGATTACAGGGGACCCCTTTGCTAGCACTGGACCCAGGACCAGATGCTGTTTGGTAACTCCATTGCCTATACCCACTTCCAGGTCACAGTTCAAGGGTGGAGAGGAACACTTTTGGTTACAAGGGAGTAGGGACCCTGAGGAGCTGTACTGATTGCCATCCCAAGGGATCAGGGACCTTTCCTGGGTAAGGACCCGAGCACATACCAACAGAGAGTAAACACACCTCTTCCCAGATCATACTACCTTGGAAGCACCAGAAACTTCCAGACTCCCAGAACTAGCTCTAAAAACAGCAGTGAGAAAAAAGCCTGAAGCTTGGGACAGTGCCCCTCCCCACCCCACACTCTGTGAACAGAACCCAAGTTTAGCTTAAAGTTCAAAGTCAAAAAATAGGCTGGAAAAATGAGCAATCAACAACAAAAAAAAAGAACCTGACCGTAAAAAGCTATGATGGTGAGAAGGAAGATCAAGATAGTTATATGGAAGTTAGGAAGGGTAGGGGGAAGTTAATGAGTTTAGTTTTATAAATGTTGAGTTGGTGATACAAGACTGGAGGTCAGGAGAGAGGTTAGGGCTGGATAAATAGATCTGAGAATTATCTGCATAGAGGTGATAATTGAACCCATGAGAACTGACGAGATCACCAAATGAGACAGTGGAGGGAGAGGAGAGTCCAGGGAAACCCTTGGTGTATACCCATGGTTAGTAGTTGTGACCTTGCAGAAGATCCAGCAAAGGACTGAGAAAGAGCAGTGAGACACATAGGAGGAGAGCCTTGAGAAAGCAGTGTCATTAAAATGTAGAGAGAAGTGAGGTCAAGAAGGATGAGGATTGAGAAAAGGCCTTGGCATTTAAGAGATCGTTCATGACTGAAGAGAGCAGTTTCAGTTGAGGTCAGAAGCCAGACTATAGAGAGTTAAGAAGAGAGTGAGAGGAAATAAAGTAGAGGCACCTATTGTAGGTGCCCTCTTGAGGAGTTTAGCTACAAAAGGGAAGAGAGATAGATGCAGGATGATAACAAGCCAGGATGGAAGGACCAAGTGAGGGTTTTTAAATGATTGTGTAGACAAGGTCATGTTTATAGGAAGTAGGGAAGCAGTCAGCAGATAGGGAGCAACTGAGTATTAGTTAGAGAATGGGGATGATAAAGGAGGCAATCTTCTGAAGAAGATGGGGGTAGAGTGGGATCATTTGTACATGTAAAGGGGTTTGCCTTGTCAAGGAAAAAGGCTACTTCTTTGTGTGAGACCGTGGTGAAGGAGGAGAGAGTAGAAGAAGGCATCTGAGTGATGTAAAATTAAAGAGAGGGGAGAAAAAGGAGCTCTCTGGGAGTGGCTAATTTTTAGAGTGAATTTTTTTCAGTGAAGTATGTGGCAAGGTTTTCAGCTGAGAAGGAGAGGGGTGGGGGAACCATGGGAGGCTCAGAGATGACAAAGTTTGGAATAGCCTCTGTTGTGTGTGGAATAGTGAATTGATTGAGCAGGTATAAAAGGATTGCCTTGTTACAGTGGAGGAACATAGACTTGTAGGGGCCCCAGTAAGCCCACTTTTGTGACTTTCTCCATCTTCATTTGACAACATGTGAATAGGCATGAAAGCAGTGGATGGTGGGAATAATTCAAAGTTAGTGCTTGAAAAGGCATGATCAGTATAGGATAAGGAGGCAAGGAATTCAAGTGTGGAGCAGTGTGGAGTTCAGTTGGTGAATTGGTTGAAGAGTTGTGATAAGGAAGGGAAAAGAGTGTGTGTGTAGTAAGAGGGTAGGGTGATGACCTATGAAAGAACCAAGGACTTAAAGGACAAAGTAAAGACAAAGAATGGGGTTGTAAAGTAGAGGAAAAGATGGAATGATAAAATATCGTGATCTGATAAAGGAATTTTAGTTATGCATAGTCAAACAAAACAAATTCTCCCACTGTCCATGTGCAAAAATGTGACTCATTTTGCATCTTGACTCTATCACCTATCGAAAGGTAGGTAACATGTTGCATCATGATCCTTTGGAATCAGGATGGTTGATCATTATGCTGATCAGACTTCTTAAATCTTTCTAACTTGTTTGTCTTTACAATGTTGTTCTTACTACATAAATTGTTCTCCTGATTCTGTTCAACTCACTCTGCATCAGTTTCTACAAGCCTTCCTGGGTTTCTCTGAAACCATCCCTTTCATCATTTTTTTTTTTACAGCACAGCAGTATTCTATCACATTCATGTACCATAGCTTGTTCAGCCTTTCTCCAATTGATGGGCACCTCCTTGGTTTCCAATTCTTTGCTACCACAAAAAGAACTGTTATAAATATTTTTGTACATGTAAATCCTATCCCTCTTCCTTTGATCTCTTTGGTGTACAAGGTTAATATTCCTAGATCAAATGCTATGCATAATTTAATAACATTTTGGGCATAGTTTTATAATGTTTTCCAAAATAGCTGGACCAGTTCTCAGTTCCACCAATAATGTACTGCGGTGACCCTGTTTTCCCACAGACCCTCCAGCATTTGTCATTTTCCATTTTTTGTTAACTTTGCCCATCTAATGGATATCATGTGGAACCTCAGAATCCAATAAGCATTTAGTAAGCTCTGTGTAAGATGATGGGATACAAACCAAACAAAAAAATAGCTTAATAGCTAACATGATTTTCAGTAGCATTAAAAGTACAGTATGTCGTGCTTGTCTGGTCAGATACTATCTAGAGTATCAGAGTATGCCATTTAGAGTAGGGAGTCATATAATATTTTGGATCAGGGGCTGTATGTAATCAGGGTTTTGCTTTAGAAAGATTCTCAGCACATGCAGATCTGTCCCTCTTCTGAGAACTTGCCAGGCTTAGAGGCAGATCCAATCATGCAATCAATCAATTACCAGGTGCCAGATACTCTTTACAATGTTGGTGATATCAAGGCAAAGGCACTCTAGTGAACACTTTGCTAACCTTGACTTTTCTTCTGGGGAAGGTTTTGTGGATTTTTTTGTTGTTTTGTTTTGTGGAATTTTCAATCTCCCCTCCTCCTTTCCAAGGTCCCCTTTGCTGGTTTGGAAATGTCAGGGCAGCACAGGCCCAGCTGACTCTCCCTGCTTGGAGAACCCTCTATTCTGAGCCAATATGGTAGCAGGACCATTCTGTGTTGCCTTGAGAAATTGGGCGATTTATCTGAATTCTCTGCCCCAGTCTCATTTCTCCAGGCAACTACCATCTCCCCTGACCTGGAGCCACCCCCACAGTCCTCTCCTGCCCCTCCCTGCATCCTTTCTGCACAGACCAGACCCTCCTTCTCCCTCAGCACCATTAAAATCCCCCCAGTCAGATCAAGAGCCTGGGAATGGGAGGGGGCAGGTGATGTGGAGTACTTTTATTTCCCCTTCCCTTCCTTTGTCTGGAGGTCTCTGATATACATTCTCAATTGTCTCTGCCTCTTTGATTTTCTCAGTCTCCATCTTTGCATCTCTCCCCTGGCATGCCTCTATGTCTCCCTTCCCCTCTGTCTCGGTGCAGCTGGCTTCGTCTGGACTCTGCCTGGGAGAGGTGGATAGGAAGCTGGGTTAGCAGTCCATGGGGTCCCTTCTCTGGCTTGGGGGGAGCCAGAATCCCTGCAAACCATCCTCCCCCAGCCCCACCCTGGCTGTTGGGCGGTGGGCAGGGGCATCCTTTAGAGGCTAGGCCCGCCTCCCCTCCCCTTCCCATCTACCCTGAGAGCTGGGGGGCTCCCTCTCTATAGCGCTGCAGACTCCTGGGAGGATTCTCTAGATGTCCTTACAAGGAGAAGTGGAGGGAGGAAAAGAGAGAGGGAGGGCGGGAGGGAGAGTGGGGAGGCAGGCAGGGATGGGCAGGGGGAAGGGAGTGAAAAGGAGGGAGTGAATGAGGAGGGAGAAGGCTTGGCTGGGAGAGAACAGCAAGGCTGGAGGGAAAGTTGCTGGAGAAAGGTAAGGCAGCTTCCCCCCCCCCAGTCACTCACGATAGATACACCCCCCCACACACACACACGCACGCACACACCCCATCACAAAGAAGCAGGTATACAGAGGCATTAGAGCAGCCGCATAGATACACCTGACCACCAATCCCCTTCTCTCTGCCCTCTCCCCCTTCCCCTTTCAATGCGGACACACCTGGATGCTCTAGAGATACAGGCAAGCAGGAGTCTTCGCTCCCTCACTGGTCATACAGAAGACCACTAGCTTTCCCCGCAGAGCTGCAGGTGGGCAGGCAGATCGGAAGACCTACACACACACACACACACACACACACACACACACACACACACACACACACACAGAGCTGGCATTCCTCCATCCCCTCCCCCTCCCCTGCTTCCCCGAATCAATCTGGCCTCCCTCCTTTCCCTGGGATTCGAAGCAGGGTGGAGCAGAGTGGGGTAAGGGTGCTGTCCTGGTTCTAAGGAACCTTCTGACCCAGAATTGAAATTAAGGTAGGTGTGTATGTGTGTGTGTTTGGGGAGTGTAGGGGTAGATGTGGGGGCAGGGATGGGATGGGGAAGGGCAGGACAGAATACTGATGCTATATCTCTCTCCCGCTATCAGAGCAGTCTGGAGATTGGGCAAGTGTGTGTGTGAGTATGTGTGTATGTGTGTATTTTGAGTGTTCAGCCGAGTACTTATGTAGGTGGTAGATTTGAGTTGGATTGTATACTGTTTCTGTTATAAATATATATATATATATATATATATATATATATATATATATATATATATATATATATGCTGTATGTACAGTGCTGTGTGAATGTATGTTTGAGGATGGAACCATATAATCATAAAATGTTAAAGCTGGAAGGTAGCCACTCTCTCATTTTTGCAGTGTGTGTGTGTGTATGTGTGTGTGTGTTCATGCGCATTTGTGTGTGTGTGTGTGTGTGTGTTCATGCGCATTCTTGCATCATGGTGTGTGTGTGTGTGTGTGTGTGTGTGTGTGTGTGTGTGTGTGTGTGTAGATTTTGTGGTAGCATCAGACACTGGTGATGTAGCTTTCCCCACCCTGCCTCTGTCCAGACTCAGGCATCATGTCTCCCAGCACTGAATGCATCCAAACCCCTTGGGGGGGCTGGGATTTATGGGGTATGGGGGGGTCCCTGGACTCTCTGTGGGGGGAGGACATGAAGAGGGAGATAGATCATCTGGGACATGCTCTTCCAATCCTATTTCTTCATATTCTGCCCCCAGGCTAGCTCAGCCCCTCTATTTCCCCAGACATGCTGCTGGGTTCAGGCTGGAAGAAGAGGACGGAGGATATTGGCAAAATCTACGACATCAGAGAGAAACTTGGGGCGTGAGTGATGGCGGTGGGGGTGGGGTGACTACCTTGATCTTTACTGACCCTTTCTCTAAGACAGCCTCCCTCTACCAATGACTCAGTCCATGGGCATTTCCATAGCTCCTCCTGAAAATTCCCTGTTTCTCTGAGTCTCTCTCTGTCTTAAGGCCCTTCTCAATCTCTCTGCCTCTGCCTTGGCACCAGAGGCATGGGGTACTTTGGGTGGGGAGAAGGTAAGGTCCAGGGCTCCTACTTCTCTTTTCCATAATTGGGGCCCAAGGGGGGCAGCTAGGTGGTGCAATGGATAGAGCGCCAGCCCTGAAGTCAGGAGGACCTGAGTTCAAATCCAGCCTCAGACACATAACACTAGCTGTGTGACCCTGGGCAAGTCACTTAACCCCAATTGCCTCACAAAAAAAAAAACCCAAACAAACAAACAAGCATAATTGGGGCCCATCTGATGCCTTTGTCTTTGTTTTGAGATGTTCTCAACTAAGCAAGGGGCTGGGGACTGTGCCCTGGTGGGGTCAGGGGTGTTTAGAATCCTAAAAACCAAGAGGTACCTTAGAGATCCTCTAATCCAACGAAAAGGAATGACTTGGTCAGTCACACATAGGATCCCACCTAGATCTAGAGATGGTGGGGCCTCAGAGGTCATCAAATCCAACAGGTAGCAGAGGTGAGATTTGGACTCAGTTCCTTTCAATTATACTAGGCCATCTCTTCCCCAGGGTGTCAGTGTCCCTGAGTTCTGAGTGCAGCCAGCAGGCTTTGCAGATTGTCAGGTGTACCTGGCCTGTGAATGGTCCCGTGGAGATGTAGGATGTCAGCCCCTTACCTCCTGGACCATTCTTTTTCCACAGGGGAGCATTCTCGGAGGTGTTTCTGGCCCAGAATCGATCCTCCAAGAGACTGGTGGCTCTCAAGTGTATCCCGAAGAAGGCTCTGAGGGGGAAGGAGGTAGCTGTAGAGAATGAGATTGCTGTTCTCAAAGAAGTAAGGAAGTGTAGAATAAGGGGATGATTGGGGTACACCTGGATGTGTAACGGGAGGGAGTGGGAGTCAGTGGGAAGATCTTTACTGCTCTCACAAGAGGCTTTCCAGCCCAGCCCTGACTGGCCCCACACCACCCTGTCTCCTGCACTTGTGTGTGTATCTGTGCAATGTTGAGTGTGTTGTACTCTGTGTGTGTGTGTGTGAGTGTGTGTGTGTGCACGCATGCGCTGTGTAATGGGGAGGAAAGAAAGGGAAGGAGAGAAAGGTAAGTAGGAAAGGAGAATAAAAGAGAAGGATGTAGAGGAGAGAGGGGAGAAGGAGGGGGATGAGAGGAAGGAGGGAAGAGAAGAAGGAGGGGTAAGCAGGGAAGGAGGAGAAAAGGAAGGGGAGGGGTGTGGGAAATGAGAGGAGGGTTCAGCCCATTTCTCCTGGGGCCTGGTTATTTTCTGCCTAGGTCAAATATTTCCTGGCTTCTGGTCTTCCTGCCAAGGAGGCCTGAGAGGGGGCTCTGTGTATTCAAGGTTAGCTCACTGAGCTTACAGGCTGGGGCGACAGGGGTGGGGGTGGGGGTGGGGGTGGAGGGGCCTGTCTAGGACCCTGAATAGAGTACGGCACAGCTCCTGCGGCCATCCCAATAACTATGTGACTGTGGACAAGTTGTCTCCCCTCCTGGGCCTCAGTTTCTTCCTCTGTCAAATGAGAGGGTTGGTCCTTACAAACTCTAGAATTGGGATCTTAGGATCTGATGACCACACTGAGAAAGAGACAAATCCTGAAGTCTCATTTTTGGGAATGAACAGATTGGCTTGGATGAATAGAGCTGGACAATTCATCTCTCATCCAGGAGCTGATCAATTTCTCCCCAGGTAAAGAGATTTCAGGAGAGGGCCTTACCTGTAGTGTCCCTAAAGGGGTCCCTGGCCCATGGCTACATCCTTCGTAGGAAGACACAAAGTCCTCACAAAGGCTCCTTGTCCTGTGGGCTCATGGAGTTGAGCAGAGAATTCTCCCTGATCAATCCCCCCCTTCCTCCCATATCCTTCCCCCCCCACCCGCATGCATACATATACGTGTATACTATATATAACTTTGCATCCCTGTCCAGGGTTGCCTTAAAAGTAGACAGAGCATTGGGGCAGCTAGGTGGCTCAGTGGATAGAGCACCGGCCCTGAAGTCAGGAGGACCTGATTTCAAATTTGGTCTCAAACCAAACACTTGACACTTACTAGCTGTGTGACCCTCGGCAAGTCACTTAACCCCAATTGCCTAAAAAAAAAAAGAGTAGACAGTATGCATTGATTGGGGGGGGGGCTCTGAGAAGGAAACCCATGCCAGCAATCATCCCCCATTTGGACAACAAGCATTTTGTGTGGGCATCTATTATGTAACAGGTACTCTGCTAGGTGCTGAGGATGTAAACAGCTTACATTCTCCAATTAAATATAAAATATATGCAAAGTAATTTTTTTTTGCAAAGTAATTTTTTTGAGGGGGCACTGGCAGTTTGGGGAATCAAGATAGACTCTTCCTCTAGTCATAGTGATAGCAGATGAAATGTCTGAGTTTAGAGGACAGCAGGCCAATTTACTAGAAAAGAGCCAGTGTCAATGAGACTAATGTTTAGTAAGCCTGGAGAGGGTTGGGAGGGGGCAGCTAGGTGGCTCAGTAGATAGAGTACTGGCCCTGGAGTCAAGAGGATCTGAGTTCAAATCCAGCCTCAGACCAAACACTTGACACCTACTAGCTGTGTGACCCTGGGCAAGTCACTTAACCCCAATTGCCTAAAAAAAAGAGAGAGAGAGAGAAGGCTGAGAAGAGCTAAATCACGAAAGACCAAACCAAAGAGTTGGGATTTTTCTCATCTAAGCAATAAGCACTTCCTATATGGATGACCTCGGACAAGTCCTTTCCCCTACACTGGGTTTCTTGAGCAGGGCAAGTGGCATGACCTATGTGTTAGAAAAATCACTTTGGAAGCCACGTGGAGGACGGGTTGGAGACGGGCAAGACTACAAGCAGAGAGGCCAATTAGGAGACTATTGCAATAATCTAGGCAGGAGATGGACCAGTCTGGGGCCTGGACTAAGATGGTAGCTGTGAGAGTAAAGAAAAGGGGTAAGGTTGGAGATATATTGTGGCAGTAAAATTGGCAAGAATTGGAAAATGGACTGAGGGGTGGAGAATAAGGTAGGTGGTGCTGCAGTGGATAGAGTGCTGGGCCTGAATTCGGGAAGATTCATCTTCATGAGTTCAATTCTAGCCTCAGACACTTATAAGCTATGTGACCCTGGGCAAGTCACTTAATCCTGTCTGCCTCAGTTTCCTCATCTGTAAAATGAGCTGGAGAAGGAAATGGCAGATACAAACACGGGTGGATTTGAGGGGAAGAGAATGAATTCAGTTTGGGACATGTTGAAGTGCTTATGGGATGTCCGAGTAGAAATGTCTAGTAGGCAGTTGGTGACACAGTCATCTATATAAAAATCATAGTCAAACCCATGGGAGCTGATGCCTGAAATATTACCGTTAGATAGTCATTCCTTTGGCAAAAAGCCATCCCTTGTTAAGATGTAACAGTCCTTTTGTAGAAGTTGTGCCTTAGGCACCATCAACCACTGGCATCTCATACCTTTTTCTCTTTTTTTGGCTAGGCAATGGGGTTAAGTGACTTGCCCAGGGTCACACAGCTAGTAAGTGTTATGTTTCTGAGGCTGGATTTGAACTCAGGTCCTCTTGAATCCAGGGCTGGTGCTTTGTCCACTGCACCACCTAGCTGTCCCCTCATGCCTTTTTCTAAGAAGAGGTTGTGTTGGAGAAAGGGGCAACAGAGTGAGGGGGAGGAATAGAACAGCATGATATAGTGGAAAGAGCGTTATCTGGGGAGTCAGTGGACCTAGGTTTATATTCTGACTTTGTCACTTCCTATATGGTTGACCTTGGACAAGTCCTTTCTCCTCCACTAGATCTGTGTCCTTCTCTGTTAAACTGAGGGGATTGGGGCAGTTAGGTGGCTGCAGTAGATTCGAGTACCAGTCCTGGAGTCAGGAGGACCTGAATTCAAATCTGCTTTCAGACCAGACACTTGACACTTACTAGCTGTGTGACCCTGGGCAAGTCACTTAACCCATTGCCTAGCCCCCAAAAAAAATCTTAAAAAAAAATGAAGTGAGAGGATGAAGTCTAGATGAATTCTCATTTCCCTTCCGTGTTTAAATCTATGATCTCATGACTCTGGGCTCATTGAGGAAAAGGAGCAGTCTGGGGCACTAAAGATCAACTTAATAATTTTGCTCTGTATATATTTATTTATCTGAGAGGGACACACAAATAATCATTATTTTTGTGACTCCAGTGCCTAGCACAGTGCATCAAGTAGGCACTTGATAAAATCTCACTGAATATTGAGTTTGTGTGTGTGTGTGTGTGTGTGTGTTGGTGTGTGTCCCTCTGCATTTGTGTATAACTGTGTCTCTGTGTATATGTGGGTCTCCGTAGGTCTTGAAATGTTCCTTCTCCCTGTCCCCTTCTCCGTCCTTCCCAGCCCCAATCCCTCACCCCCCTGAAGCCCCCCCCACAGTAAACCTTTGCTGCCATTCCAGAGTCAGTCACCCCAACATTGTGGCTCTTGAAGATGTCCATGAGAGCAGCTCCCATCTCTACCTGGCCATGGAACTGTGAGGGGAATGGGGCACTGGAGGGGGTGGGGAAGGGGTGGCTCTACTGGGGATCAGGGGATGGGGGATGGGGCACTGGAGGGGGTGGGGATGGGATGGCTCCACTGAGGATCAGGAGAGGGATGTCCCCAGATGGTACCTGAACCAAATTCAGCAATGATGAGGTATTTCCTGTATGTCAGATGTTATACTAGGTACAAAAATGAAACAAACTTTGCCTTCAAGTAGCTTCTGTTCTATTGGAGGGAGGTGGGCTGCTACCTGGGGAAGGGGGGAGAAGTGTAAGCCCCTATGCTCCTTTCTCTCCAGGGTGACAGGGGGGGAACTGTTTGAACGCATCATGGAACGGGGCTCTTACACAGAGAAGGATGCCAGCCACCTGGTGGGGCAGGTCTTGGGAGCTGTCTCCTACTTACACAGCCTGGACATCGTGCACCGTGACTTAAAAGTACCAGAGCTGAATCAGCATGGGAAGCCCTGAGCTAACTTTCCCCCTGGGGCCAAACTCACCCTCCATAGCCGAATCAAGGTCCATCTGGCCTATGATTGGGACAACCCTGTCTCAGCTCCTTGGGGACAGCCAGCCATCTGAACTGCTCCTAGGGAGCCTAGAAATATTGAGAGGCAGAGCTAGGGATGACCCCCAAGGCCTAGGCCTTGGGTCTCCTTCCCCCAGGCCCAAACTCCCTGCCTAGACCTGGGACTTGGGTTGCCCTCAAATTAGGGACTGAAGCTCCCAGGGGCCTAGCTAGAGCCCTGGGCCCCCTCATACTTCAACACTGCCCTTCTTCTCCAAACTCCCTTTCTTCCTCTCAGCTAGATGTCTTTCCTCTCCCTACCCCATTCCACCTGCTGCCCCCACCTGGGTTAGGGCTCCTCTGTCTCCTCCTGACCTCTGTGTTCTCTCCAGCCTGAGAATCTTCTGTATGCCACCCCCTTTGAGGATTCTAAGATCATGATTTCTGACTTTGGCCTGTCCAAGATCCAAGAGAGCAATGTCTTGGGCACTGCCTGTGGGACCCCAGGCTATGTTGGTGAGGGCCAAAGCTTGTGGGCATTGGGGGGTGGTGTCTGATGACATGGCAGGGACTTTTAAAAAGGGAACAGAATTAAAAAAAACATAAAAAAAGATAAAAAGGGAGCAGAGAGGGCTGGTCTGGGATCCAAATGCACAGTCCCTTGCATGCCCATGGCCACATGTAATGCTCTCCTCTGTGGACAAGGCTGGCAGAGGGTGGTGCCAAGGGGTCTATATTTTCTGCCTTTTGAGCCCTATATACCTGTGTCTCTGTGTGCTTGCATACCTGTGTTTCTCTGTGTGTGTCCGTCCGTCTGTCTGTCTGTCTTTCTCTGTATCCGGGTGCCTGGCTCCTAGCCCCTGAACTCCTGGAACAGAAGCCCTATGGGAAGGCTGTAGATGTCTGGGCCCTGGGGGTCATCTCCTATATTCTGTGAGTTACTAGAGATGGGCAACTGACTGTTCTAGCTATCTGTCTACCCCTCAGCTTGGAGGCCCCTTCTGGGGGGTGTGTGGAGAGGGGATACTTAAGATACCTAACCCTAACCCTTCAAAAGGTGGGGAGCTGGGAGCTGAGGCTAAGCCTGGGGATGGGTTAAAGCTTAGAGGATTGGGAGGTGGAACCCTGAACAGGCTGATAGTTGTGCCTCTCCTCCCATTCTTTCTTTCTTTCTTTCTTTCTTTCTTTCTTTCTTTCTTTCTTTCTTTCTTTCTTTCTTTCTTTCTTTCTTTCTTTCTCTCTCTCTCTCTCTCTCTCTCTCTCTCATTTATCTCCTAATCTTCCTCATATTTTTCCTGTCCCACACTGCCCTATTCCCCATGGTCCCCCCAGTCTGTGTGGCTACCCCCCCTTCTATGATGAGAATGACTCGGAACTCTTCAGTCAGATTCTGAAAGCCAACTATGAGTTTGACTCTCCGTATTGGGATGACATCTCTGAATCGGGTGAGTTTTTGCAAACTCCTGGCCCTGGGAGGATAGAGTCCCAGAGCCTTCCTGAGGGTGGAGGTGATGGTGGAGGCCACTATGGACAGAGGAACATTCCCTAACTGGGAACTTTCTAACTCCCAGCCAAAGATTTCATTCGGCATCTCTTGGAGAGGGACCCTGAGAGGCGGTTCAGCTGTGAGCAAGCCTTGCAGCATCTTTGGTAAGCACCTTTGGTAGTGTGTGGGTGGCCCCCTCTCCCCACCTTCCCCTCCTCCCCCTGACCCTCTGGATTCTCCTCCCTTTCCCTAGGATCTCTGGAGACACAGCCCTGGACAAGAACATTCTCAGTTCTGTCAGTGAGCAGATCCAGAAGAATTTTGCTCGGACCCACTGGAAGGTAAGATTAGAGAGGCCAGAGAGGGTGACTTCTTCAAAGATTGAATGGCCCTAGGCCCAGCACTTAGGCTCTGTTCCTTAGTGATCCTCTCTGGGCCTGGTGGGTTGAGGGAAATGCTTGCCTTCTGGACAGATTTGGGGGTGGAAGGAACTTGGGGGGGACCCTGAGACAGATTGGGAAGAAGGGCAAGGGCAAAACAAGACTGATAGCCACTCTACCACACTCCAGAGGGCAATCAATGCCACGTCCTTTCTTCGGCACATCACCAAGATGGGACAGAGCACTGAGGCAGATGGGGATGAGGGAGGACCTCAGAAAAAGTGATGATGCCTCATGCCAACTGGCCACTCATTCATCAAGGTATGTTCCCTCAGCCTGGTTGGGGAGCCCGGAGCAGGAGGGGTCCTAAGCCACACAAACACTGAGGCTTGTAGTGGTTGCTTGGGGGTGGCAGGGGCAAGGCAAGGAAGGCTTCCTGAACAAGGAGGCACCTAAGTTGGACAGTTCTGGATGGGAGAGGGGGACAACACTCCAGGCAAGGGGGCAAAGCTTCAGGTAGGAAGGAGTTTTGTTAAGCAGTGTGCAAATGAAGGGGAGAAGGGAGAAAAGGTTGGAGGAGGAGGAGGGTGGGGTCAGAGATCTCATTATGGGTGATATTTGATCCTATAGATAATAGGGAGCCACAGCATTCCAATAGAGCCTTCGGGCAGAATTGGAGGAGGGGTGGTAGTTGTCAGGGAGCTAGGAAAAGTAGAGCAGGATTCTGAGCCTTAGTTTCTTTCTCTAATTCACCAATTCAGAAATCCCTTCACCTGAAGCTGGAACAGCTGGAAGAGGAGCCCGCTCTTTGACTCTCATGGATGTTGCAATCAATTTCTTTCCTGCCTGTGCCCTGAATACCTTCCTCCTTCTTTCCCCTCTTCCCCCCTCCCCCAGTCGTAACTATCTGTGCCTGGCACCCCTGACCCCTCAATCACGGGGTCTCATAGTTTGGGCTGGATTGTCTGGATGTGTGTGTGTGTGTGTAGGCCCGGGGGCTGGAGGTAGGGGGGTCTGGGGGATCCCTCTGGTTTGAGGGGAGACACTGGTGCTGCGGGGGGGGAATGAATGTTGAGGAGGTCCCAGTGAAAGTGTAGTCTGGGAAGCTAGAAGGAAGAGGGGGCTTGAGCTAGAAGCTTGACTGCTGCTCCCATCCTGCTCCCCATGAGGGGGCAGGGCCTGGGCCTGGGGTTTTCTTAGTTCCTCTGAAAGGGACTCAACCCCTTCATAGGGGAGGCAGTGAAGAGGAAAGTGGGGATGAGGGAAGATCAATGAGGGAGACTAAAAATCCCAGAGGGGCTTTTGGGCTCTTGAGTGAGCTATTTTCACATTTAAAGCTTCCCTTTCTCTGAACAGTTAACATGGATGGCGATGGACTCAGTTGGTCTATTAAAGTTCTGCCTAGCTCAAAATTCATTGTCTCCATGAATGGGGATCCCTTTCCCTCTTCCTTTTGGCCCAGGGTATGTCTGTCTGTTTATCTGACTGTGGTCCTTCCTGTCCCTAGCAGCCCTTCCTAGCCCTAGCATTTGCCATTTCATCAAGCAAATAAAATTATTTTAAAAAAAAGAGAGAGGATGTGATCATTGGAGGTGATGGCAGTGGGAGTGAGTGAGTGTGTGTGTGTGTGTGTGTGTGTGTGTGTGAGAGAGAGAGAAGAGAGAGAGAGAGAGAGAGAGAGAGAGAGAGAGAGACACTTTACTCTTTCCTATCCCAGCTGTAGCTTCCTCATCAACTTCTTTCTCCCACTCTCACCCCACCCCCAACTCTCCAGTTCTGGAGTAAGACTCACAATCAGATCAACTCAGTCATAGTTCCTGGATAGGGTGTGTCAATCTACTTTCCAATTTCTGGATCAAGGTCCTCCTCCTTGGTTACTATTCCCTCTTGTATATTGATTCCTCAGTTAGAATATAAGTTCTTAGAGAGCAGGGCCTGTGCAGCTTTTGTATTTTTCTCCTTACCCTTAGCATAGTGCTTAGCATCTAATAAATACTTAATTCATGGTTTTTCATTCATTCTGTGTATGTATGTGTATGCAAATGTCCTCTTTGGGGTCTCCCAGCTCTTCAGCTGAATCACTGGGGCCTTTCAAGAATGACAGGGGGCTTTGTCTTCTGGATTTCAGTCCTCTGGGGCCAGGTTTTGGAGGGGAAATGCCTGGAGGTGGATGGGTAATAGAGTTCCCTGAAAACTGAATACTCCAACAGAAGGTAATTGATGTTACATCCTTGCTTCGACATCTCACCAAGATGGGGCAGAACCCTGAGGGAAATGTCAGTGAGGGCCCTGCCATTTCTTCTATCCTCTGTCTTTGGGCTGGGCTGCCTTCCCTCTGTACCAGGTGAAGGCTACAAGGTGTTAAGCAAAGCCAGGCTCTTCATACTGGGGACTTAACATTTCATTCAGGCCAACAAGAACTGTGGCAGCATCTGAAGATACCAATTTTGAGGTTTAGGGGTGCTGGGACCCCAAAATCACAACACAGGTCCTGCCCAAAAGAATTCAACTCCAGCCTTCTTTCAGCCAAAGACAAGGTTTATTAGAACATCCGTAATATTGAGCAGATTCTTAAGGAGTCTGAAGATTAGTGAACTATTGGCTAGATTATAAGAATCTGAGCACTTCAATGGAGACAAGATGGACCTTACATATAGAAAAACTATGGGAGAAATCTAGGAGTGGCCTAGTAGTTGGGGGGAGGGGGAAGGGACTATGAGGTGATAGAGTACCAGGGATCTGGACATGGACAGGGGAGAATGGAGCCTAGTTAGGATTAAGAGTGGGAAGTGGCCTGAGGCTATAGGGAGGTAAGACTTTGGAGGGCCAGGCTAGGTAAACGGTAAGAGATTGGGTGTAGCCACAAGGAAAGGGCAGTTGAAGGGATTATAGCCTCAGGTGAACCGCCAGAGATTTGGCCACTTGGGAAAGTCCAAGGTTTTTCCTTTTTGGGGTCTAGATCCTATCCTCTCCACCAAGATGAGAACCAAAACGTTCTTGCCTGCCAGAAACATATTCTTCTGGTGAGAAGTGTGTGCATGGAAAAATATTTACAAAATATACTCATTTCTGATCAGATTTGAGATTCTGGTGATGTAGGGAACGTCCAGTGTCTCCTAACTTCCTCTACAATGACACTCAATGCACACTTTGTAACTTCTAATGTTGGAGAGTTACTTGGGGCACTGAGAAGTTAACTAATTTGTACAAGGGTCACATAGCCAGGATGTCAAAGGCAGGACATAAACTGAGGTTTCCCCGATTCCTAGATCAGCTATCTCCTCCCACAACACACTGTTCCACCAAGATATGCAACTAAAAACAATTTTTAAAATTTCATTTTTTTGTTTCATTTTAAGTTCCAAGCTATCTTCCTCTCTCACTCCCTACCCCGCACTAGAGGTCACCATTTGATACAGATATATAGGTATAAATACATATATGCATATATATATACATACATTTACATATATGTAAAACCATACTATGCATACTTCTATTTATAAGTTCTTTCTCTGGAGGTGGATCGCATCTTCCTTTGTAGTTGATTTGGGTATTTATAATATTCAGAATAATTTAGTCATTCACAGTTGTTCTTCCAACAATATTGTTTTTACTGTATACAACATTCTCTTGGTTTTGCTCATTTTACATTTCATTATTTCATGCAAGTAGTTCCATGTTTTTCTAAGATCATTGAGCTCATAATTTCTTACAGCTCAGTAGTATTTCATCACAATCACATACCACAACTTGTTCAGTCATTCCCCAATTGACAGGCGTTCCCTCAGTTTGCAGTTCTTTGACACCACAAAGAGAGCTGCTATACATATTTTAGAACATATAGTTTTTTTTCCCTTTTCCCTGATCACCTTGGGAAATCATCTAGTAGTGGTATTGCTGAGTCAAAGTGTAAACACAAGTTTGTAACTCTTTGGCATCATTCCAAATTGTTCTCAAAAATGATTGGAACAGTTCACAGTGCCACCAACAGCGTATTAGCATCCAAATTTTTCTACATCCCCTACAACATTAGTCATTTTCTTTTTCTATCATTTTAGCCAATCTGATAGGTGTGATATGACACCTCAAAGTTGTTTTAATTTGCATTTCTCTAATCAATAATGACTTAGAGCATTTTTATATGGCTATAAATTGTTTTTATTTCTTTATCAGAAAACTCCCTTGTTCATATCTTTTAACTATTTATCATTTGGGGAATGACTTATATTTTTTATAAATTTGATGAAGTTCTTTATATATTTGTAATATGAGACCTTTATCTGAGAAACCATCTATAAAAATTTTCCCCCAATTTTCTGCTTTCCTTCTAATTTTGGCTATATTGGTTTTATTTGTACAAAACCTTTTTAATTTAATGTAATCAAAATTACTCATTTTACATCTTACAATGTTCTCTATCTCTTGTTTATTTATAAATTCTTCTCCTATCCATAAATTTGATAGGTAATATGTTCCATGTTCTAATTTTCTTATGATATACCCCTTTATATCTAGGTCATGTATCCATTTTTACCTTATCTTGGTAAATGATGTAAGATATTGGTCTATGCCACATGTACAAAAATATTTATAGCAGCTATTTTTGTGGATAGCAAAGAATTGGAAATTGTGGGGATGTCCATCAATTGGGGAATGGCTGAACAAGTTGTGGTATATGAATGTAACTGAATATTATTGTGCTATAAGAAATGATGAGTGCTACCCAGCAAAAATAAAGCATGATCTTTCAGGGTAGGAGATGGATATTCAACGAAATAGGAGACTTCCAAACCTTCCTGATAAAAAGACCAGAACTCAACAGAAAATTTGATCTTCAAATACAAGACTCAAGAGAGACATAAAAAGGTAAATGGGACAGAAAGAAACATGTTATTAATATGGCCAAACTGTTTACATCCCTACAAGGGAAGACACTTGTAATGCTTGAGAACTATATTGTTATTACACCATGTTAAAGTGGCATACATAAAGAGGGTGGGTATAAGTTGACTTTGATAATTTTTTAATTTTTAATGATAAAAGATCTAATCAAGTGGGTTAAATGGATCCAAGTAAGTGAATTAATCTGATCTAACTAAGAAAACGTACTGAGAGAAAAGGAAAGGAGGAGGCAGACAAGGGTAAATTACATCACAGGAAAAGGCACAAAAACCTATTATAGCAGAGGGAAAGAAGTGAGGGAGATGAGTATTGTTTGAACCTTACTCTCATCAGATTTGACTCAAGAAAGGAATAACATAATCAATTAGGTACTAATATTGATAGGCTTAACCCTTTTCAGCAATACAAGGATCTAAGATATCTCCAAAGGCCTCATGATGGAAAATGCTATCCACATCCAGAGAAAGAACTATGGAGTTTGAATGCAGATCGAAGCATACTATTTGCTATTTTTTTTCCTTCTGTTGTGTTTTGTTTCCTCTTTCTGGTGGTTCCTCTATTGGTTCTAATTCTTCCTTACAGCATGACTAATGTGAAAATATGTTTAATAGGAATTTGTATGTATAGCCTATATCAGATTTCATGCAGTCTGGGGGAGGGAGGTGGAGAAAAATTTAAAACTCAAAAGCTTATGGAAGTGATTGTTGATAAATCAAAATAAGTTAAAAAAAAGAAAATGATGAGTAGGCAGACTTCAGAAAAACCTGGAAAGACCTATATGAACTGATGCTGAGTGAATTGAGCAGAACCAAGAGAACATTGTATGCAGTAACAGCCACATTGTGAGATGACTGACCTTGATAGCCTTAGCTCTTCTCAGCAATACAAGGATCTGAGACAGCTCCAAAAGAGTCACGATGGAAAATGCTATCCACATCCAGGGAAAGAACTTAGGAGTCTGAATGCAGATGGAAGCATACTATTTGATCTCCTTTTCTTTTGTTGTTTGTTTTGCTTCATCTTTCGTGTGGTTCCTCCTATTAGTTCTGGTGGGGTATGGGCCTAAGTCCAGATCTTTGCCCCTTGCCTCAAAAAGAATTTGTCTACAAGCACCAGAAAACCTTAAACTTTTTTTGACCTCACTCAGGTCTCAAACTGTTACCCATATTCCACTCAATGGCTTTTCCTTATCGACTCTCTTTATCTCCCTTTGAAAACCCTAGGCCCACCTTTTGCCTTTCAAACTTCTTCCTTCCACTCCCCTTCATTATCTATTCTTATTCAACCTCCCAGACATTTCCATCCCAGTTTCATTATCTGTTCCAATTGTCCATTCAATCTCTCAGACATTCCAATCTGAATTCTCACCTAGACCCTTTTCCCAGCCCCTCCTCAGGCCACCCAAAGTTACTTTAGCATATTTAAGATCCACCCTGGCCCCCATTTAAAATGCTGAGACTTTCTCATGCCAGTTCACTTTGTCTTTACTGGCCTCAGATTCCATAAGAATCTGGCTTGTATGGTTTATCTCTAATAAACTTTTTCTCTGGTTGAAAGAAGATTTTGAACTCATTCAGATAGGGCCTGCGTGTCATGATCTTGGGGTCCCAGCACCCCTAAATCTAGACCTCATCAGTTCTAATTCTTTACACCATGACTAATGT